GTGAAGCAATTTTTAAAATAGTTCAAACAAATGAAGTAGTTTAGCATTCTTGTCATAGCTTGTCATCATCAATTTGAACGAGAAAGCCTTATGAGAGCACCAAATCAACGAGCTTAAAAGAAACGTTTTCACGTACAACAAAAAGATATGTGCGTCACAAATAACAGAAAATGCGGAAAGTGGAAAGAAAATGTGGAAGGTTTTCATTGACGCTTGACGGTACATTTACAATCAATTCCTCTGAAAATCTAAAAATGAGATGAAAGAAGCATAGGCCGAATTACATAAGATTCGCTCACCTTCCATTAGCATTCATTTCGAGGCTTTTTCCTGAATGACCAATGTCGATAAAAGTGCATTGGAAGCATGTGTTGAATTTCAAACTGAAAGGTTAAGTCAAAAATTGAAGTTTTAGAATTAAGAAAGTATCGAACGTTTTTTATCAATTTTCTTTTCCAATACAATATTTTGCCAACTTTTGGATTCTCCTCAATGCGCTCAGGTCTGTGAGCTGCTCCAGCTAGTTATACCTAAGTCGTCAGAAATCGAGTGAAAAAAATTATAGTCTATATAATCAGACCGCGTGGCTTGTTACACTGTCAAAATAAGGGAGTAAACTCAAGAACATTTTTCCTAGTGACAAAATTCGGTTTTGTCATACAGTTTTCCTTTTTTTGTTTCACCTGAAATGAGTTGATAAAGTGAATCTTTATGGACCTAAGATTAAAAAAGGTACGATCTCCCGGGTGGCGAGGCGGGGGCACACTCACTTATTTGGCCTAGGCGGATATGTGTCTCTTGGTTATAATGTTTTTAGGGTCCTGAGTCGTAAAAAGGGTCCGCCGGCACCCTTACCGAAGGCCTCCTTAAGTGCCCCCCTACCCCCGGACGATCTACATATCTTATACACTTATCAGAAATACTGAATAATCAACAGTTCTTCAAGTTCTTCGTAAAGGATACTTTCACTATCTGGCAACCCATATTACCAAGTTAATTCTCTCATTATTTAATTGTTGTCGTTGTTGTTGTTATTCTTGCGTAAGGTTTTTTCGTAATAATATATATTTTGGAAGAGTACGATCACAAAAGACAATGTGAAAAATTTTGGTGGGCATGAGTGGGAGTGCGTCATTCTTTTAAGACAATTTCGATCCATAAAATCTTCATGCGTATAATCAGAAACAATGAACACAAAACTTACATGTAAAAATGGAATTAGAGATCAAACGACGTCTACGCGGACAACTGAGGAGTTCTTTTAAATAACTCGACAGATTTTAATGTCCTGAATACTGCTGGGCTGACTACACAGGAAAAGAGGTAAGAGAGAAAATTAAACAAATTCTGATTAATTTTCGAGACAAAGAAAAACTTCATTTTTATTTCTCCGGCTGACACTGGAGTGCCTTCAAGAATATCAGCGTGGACGGATTTAGGGTTTGGCTGAGTTGACCGTGGCCACCCCTTTTTTTCTTTGAAATTTTGTATTAGTTTTAAAGAATGCTCAGTTAAATAAATAGTATGCATGTATATAGCTGGCAAGTGTCCCGGCCGCCCGTTTCTGAACTTTCTGGATTCGCCCCTGATCAAAGCTGTTGTTAAATTAACTTTGAAAAGATTAGAAAGAGAGGTTTATATTGAACTTTTTGTCGNTCAAGTTCTTCGTAAAGGATACTTTCACTATCTGGCAACCCATATTACCAAGTTAATTCTCTCATTATTTAATTGTTGTCGTTGTTGTTGTTATTCTTGCGTAAGGTTTTTTCGTAATAATATATATTTTGGAAGAGTACGATCACAAAAGACAATGTGAAAAATTTTGGTGGGCATGAGTGGGAGTGCGTCATTCTTTTAAGACAATTTCGATCCATAAAATCTTCATGCGTATAATCAGAAACAATGAACACAAAACTTACATGTAAAAATGGAATTAGAGATCAAACGACGTCTACGCGGACAACTGAGGAGTTCTTTTAAATAACTCGACAGATTTTAATGTCCTGAATACTGCTGGGCTGACTACACAGGAAAAGAGGTAAGAGAGAAAATTAAACAAATTCTGATTAATTTTCGAGACAAAGAAAAACTTCATTTTTATTTCTCCGGCTGACACTGGAGTGCCTTCAAGAATATCAGCGTGGACGGATTTAGGGTTTGGCTGAGTTGACCGTGGCCACCCCTTTTTTTCTTTGAAATTTTGTATTAGTTTTAAAGAATGCTCAGTTAAATAAATAGTATGCATGTATATAGCTGGCAAGTGTCCCGGCCGCCCGTTTCTGAACTTTCTGGATTCGCCCCTGATCAAAGCTGTTGTTAAATTAACTTTGAAAAGATTAGAAAGAGAGGTTTATATTGAACTTTTTGTCGTCTAAGCAATTATATAATTTGATTATTGTGATAAGGCTTTAAGAGAATGATGATGTAGATAGAAGGCAAATGAGATTTATACCGTTTATTGATCTGAGGTGGGTTTTTTTTTGTTTTTTTGTTTGTTTGTTTTTTTACCAGATTAATTCTAGCTCTTAGAGTATGGTCATTTCGTACCGAGGGTATTTAGTCTGTGACTGTAGCTTCCCTTTTTCACCTTGTTAATTAGCCATGTATTTTTCACCAATTTGATTTAATAATGCCTGGCCTTTTGCATTGGTTATATTACTTTCGTTTTTTTAAGTATCAGTTAAAGCACTGAGGAATATTCGAGACGGTTTCGGAAATTCCAGTTGCAGTGCGGAAAAACGTCAGTTGACATTTTTCAAATGCATATACAGCTATTTCGAGAAAGCTTGTAGGAAAAAATGTGCACGCGACAATTCCGAAAGGTAAAATGGGATATGTTCCTAACACTGTAGCTGTTTCTGCCTTCCTTTAGCACTCGCAGACATATGTCCACGGCCTCTCCTGCCATTCTTTCAAATTTCTTTGAAAAACAGTGAACTCAAAACCACCCCTTTCGAAGTTGTCGCGTGCATTTTATCCGACAACCTTTCTCGAAATAGCTGTATATTTCAGTGAGTTTATAGGTATTTGTCTCACAAATATTATGCGGATCAAGTATTCCACCAAAAATTCAAAAGTGGAAAGTTTAAACAATAAAACTAACTTAATCAACTTTCGCTACTTTCCTTCAAAAGCACTTAACGACATAAATAGGACAATACAAAGTGTCTTTTTTGTACCAAGTTAGCCGTTTGTATGCCTAAGCCTTTTAGCTATGAAGCATGAATTATGTTACAGTTTAAGTTACTACGTAAGGAAACTTAGAAGTTAATGCCTGAGTTGGTACTACATTAATACAATTAATTCATAGTGTTCGGTCACGTTTCATTTTCAGTATTCGGCATGACATGCAACGGCTCACACATCTTTGAAATCCTCTAACGTGAACAAGGTACAGGCACTGCATATCGTGTATTTATAATGTACACACGATTCTAAACTAGTAAAACGGGCAAAGATAATTAAGAAAAATTCTAATTAAATAAGTGCATGAGTATAGCCAGTCAAATTCACACAACTATAAAGTTAAGATAAGTCAAGTTAACAAACGGAAATGAAGAAACTATTTTGTAACACGCGACAGATAAAAGATCTATTATACATCGGTTTCTCTTTCTTTACAAGAGCTACTAATTTTAATCAGATACCTCCTGAACATTCAAACCACCCAACCTTTCCAACAAAAAAAGTTTAACCACAAATATAATCAACCCCTGACCTGGTTCTGCGTCATCCACTTAAGTTCTCACGTGTGGAGGTGTTTCAAACTAGAAATTAAACAAGAACAAATTATTTTTCATGAAGTAATGAAAAATAAATAGCAACACGTGAAAGTAAAACCAGATAAGTTTCGTTTGAATGATCAAACCAAAGGAATTTGTTCACAAACTCAAGAATCTGAACTCTGAAGTTTGAGCTATATCGCATGTCCGCAGCTCCACCCCTTTCTAGTTGAACTAAAGATTTTGATTTTCTCTGTTAAAAACGAAAAGTGGAGAGAAAAGCAGATCATGATTATATTGATTTGCAATAGAATCTCATAGAAGCGATTCAGTTTTATACGTGCCTGTTTTTTTACACTCTCACATCAGTCACATGTGCATTCTTTCGTTTTGTTCCATTGGATGAGACTTTGTTGCACACAGGATAAAAATATTGACCACTTGTGTTCTCTAAAAGCTACTATTTTGTTTGTAATGCTTGTGGTCATACAAGTGATTACATAACCGTTGAAGCCTTTTTAACCGTGCAGTTAGCACGTGACTTCACTGTCCACCGTTGCTTTAGGGCCTGTTTATGCGAGGTGAGCCAGCCCGGTTACCCGGCTGCCCAGCTTTTACCGGGAAAGCTTGGCTCATGCCTTGTTGCCTCATAAAATTTGCGTTGTTTTTATATGAGAAGGCGGGCTGGCCCGATTGCTCGAGCCGAGATCTCGACAAACTGTGGGCCAACCAGTGGCCTACAGGCTCCAGAGGACCGTTCACGAAATTTTATGGAGGACGTAAACAAACAAGCAACGACGAAAATTTCTTTCTCTTTTTGAACATTGATAAGGCTCTTAGGAGACCCAATTACTATGATATCACCGACATACTTCTCACTCTCCAGTTTGTAAAGAGTGCAAGATCGTTTGATATGACCAATGGTACTATTTGTTTTCGGTAAGAAAACTTTAAGGTAATTGGTGAGTTTTGCAACATTTAGGATTGAAAATTGGGCACACACCATCGTGAAACCACAGTAACAAAAAAACTACAATGCATGTATTCTTTATGATCTGAGACCAAAATAAATGAATAACACCGTTATTCAATACGGGCGCTGTCGATAGCTTTGCCAGCCGTGTTAGACTTCTTGGCACGCTTACTATCTGTTCCTGGGACTCCAAGGATGAACAATTTCTCACAAAATTTCTTTTCCACTTTTTTTAACAGATGAGTGAATACAAAGGGAGTAGTTTCCAGCACGAGAAAAGTGGTTGTTCCATAGGTCCCATACCGATGTCTAGCTCTACTATAGACACAGTTGAGAAGTCAGCTAAACCTCACTTTGAAGAAGAAGCTGAACCTGCTATCGACCATGTGAATGAGCCCCGTCTTCGCCCCGAGGTTCCAGATGAAGGATTTTGTGATATAAAGACCAAGTGCGAGGACGAATCCAGTCGCCAAGATAAGTCGTCTAACAAAACTGTCAAGCCTCGTCACGATTTGGAGGCAGGTTTTGAAAATATATCTCATCACGATGCCGAGGTTCATTTTGACAGGGGATGGGCGTGGGTGGTCTGTGCTACAACCTTCGTGATGGAGTTTTTCGTGGGAGGACTTATTACAAGCTCTGGAGTGATATATGCTGCATTAGTCGACGAGTTTAACAAGTCAAGAGCCGAAACAGGTGAGAAAACATTTAAATATTCTGGTGTTGACCTTGCATGAATTGCATGTAATAAAAAACTTTCATTTCAAGAATCGTCAGTTTACCTTAAATAGACCTTTTTAGCTTGTATGGTTTGTCCTCCCAATGAAGGTCTCAGGAAAAGTCGTCCCGTTGTCTTTTCAACAATTATGCTTGCATATGCCGCGAATAAGAAAACAAATTGAAAGAAGAAACAGTCCTCTTGAGTATTATTACATAACCTACATTGGGAAAACAAAAACATACAAATTAAGGGGTCTATAAAAACGAGTTCTTTAAAGCTACGGTAAAACGGCAACAAAAACGTGTAACTTGTACATGTTTTGAAACAAATGTCTTGCAACAAATTAAGTTGTTGCGAGTTGCGTGAATACTGGCTTCTGATTGGATAAAATTGCGCGGGAGTCACGCCATTCACGGAGGTTACGTCACTTGTTGCAAATAAATTTACCTTGGGCCGGTAAAACACGCAACATGTAGAGATTCTGTTGCAAAAAGTAAAACTACTCCCTACTTTCCGCAACAATTTTTCTCAATCTGATTTCTTGCAAGACAGGTTAGATTCGTGGGTGAGAAAACGCGCAACATCACTATTCTAAACGTTATGCAGCAATTTTACAACTGAAAAACGTTGCAAGTTTCCGCTGCCCGTTTTATCATACCTTAAAAAAAAGAAGTTACCTGCTCATACTTTCCTAGCCTGCGAACAAGCTCTCCGGGGAACGGGGCGCATTGGCGGAACGATCATACTCAACCTGCCTTTTTATAATTTACTTTTCAGCTTGGGTTAGTTCTCTTGCAGTATCCACGTACTACTTATTTTTTCCACTCGGTGCCATACTCAGCAAACGCTTTGGATGCTGGGTTGTCGCCCTCCTTGGCACCCTGGCCTGTTCCATCGGCTTACTAAGCTCATCTTTTGTCACCAGTCTCCCGATGTTGTACTTGACCTACAGTGTGGTGTGGGGCATGGGTGCGTCCTTCGTGTACTTTGCTGATTTGTTGATTCTGACGAAGTACTTTAAAGCGAGGCTAGCGTTTGCCAATGGGATAATGGCCCTCGGTGGCGCAGTAGGTGGAAGTATTTTGAATCCCACTATGCAGCAAATGTTTATTCATCTTGGACTTGCAAACATGTTCCGTGTTCTCTCTGGGGTGTTTCTGATCTTATCCGTGTTTTCCCTGGTTTATCGGCCAAAACGCGGCGTCTTTCCGCGTAACGGTGACATTATGGACACTGAATGTGAGAAAAAGTGCACGTTTGACTGGGAAATCTTGAAAAATAAAGCGTTTATCATGTGGATTGCTGTCAGTTTTATCTTCATGCTCGGATACATGGTCCCCTTTGTTCATTTGGTGAGTATTCTTGTAACAACGTCTTTATAAGGGGCCACCACCCACTATATATAAGTAGACTGAATTGACCCTCTACTGCGATAGGGATACTAAGGGACACAATTATTCACAAAGTAATAGGATGATCCATTTCTCATTCAGAACTTTCATAGGGATTCTTAACTTACTTTTCTATTGAACAAGCCCAAGGCCTCTAAAGGGGTACACTGGATGCGTCATCTCGCTCATAGTGCTTAAGTGCTGCTCGCTTTTAATTTCGTCATCCCAAAGATAAAAAATTCCTCTGGCGCCCAGGGTACCAAGGGGGCTCATCTACAATCAACTTTAATTTTCTGTTTTTTGAGCGATCTGTCAAAAAAACTGGCGTCAGTTTGTTTAAAGGCCAAGAATTGTCAACTTTTAGGGTTCGTCGATACAAACAAAACTTTAATGATTACTGAAAAGCATAAAGTGCTTACATACTCACACCCAGTAACTAAAACAATCCTAGCCTGCGATCAAGCTCTCTTGGGGCTCCCGGAGCAACGGGGATGTGTGGGGGCAGGGGGGAAGGAGAGCTTGCACGCGCGTCTCATAAATTTGAACACTTATCTGCGTCCCAGAATGGATGCAAAATACTGATTGGCTGATTTGTAATCAGGCGATGACGCAATGCTCCCCCGAGAGAGCTTGCTCTCCTTCCGTTTTCGTCCCGTCGAAAGAGTGCCCCGGAGAGCTAGCTCGCTAGCGAAAACAATCCTAGAGATCTTTTTTTTCTTTGTTTTCAGGTTCGCTTGGCTGAGGACATTGGAATTGACAAGACACGTGCGTCCCTTCTACTTACGTTCGTCACAGTCGGTTCGGCACTGGGTCGTATAACCTTTGGTCGAATCTCGGACTTCCGAGGCTTTAATTGCGTGTACCTTGCCCAGTTGGCTTTTTTGGTTGCAGGATTGAGCAATTTTGTTGTGCCTTTGACGGAATCGTATAATGTGTTGGCAGTAGGAGCCTTTATATTTGGTCTGTTTGGAGCCTGTTACCTCGTTCTAAACCCAGTCATCGTGTGTGACATTCTAGGCCCCCAAAAAGTATCCTATGGCTTAGGCATTACTTTTTTTGTAATCGCTATCCCTCGGACTTTGGGGCCACTCATCGCCGGATGGATTTATGACGGGTTTCAAAGCTATGCACTCGCTTTCTACACTTTGGGTGGTACTACCTGTCTATCCGCCATTTTGACAGGTATTGTTCCAATTTTGCTTCGCCAAATGGGTAAATATGAAATGGACGGTGAATCCGCAAAGAAAACTCAAGTCGAACCGGTCATGTACTGCAACAGATTTAGAAACTTCAGTATCTCAAATTAAAAATATATCGACAGTCACTATGACTGTATCTGAGTTAACTTTGTTCAAAATTATATGTTTAATGTCTTTTTTTTATTGTATTTTCTCTTTTATTCTTAACCACATGGAAATTAATATCCACATTTCCATTGATGAGGATACAATAATTGAACCACATGCATTGAGCGAATCCCGAAAGGTATTGTGGGTTGTTTTGAATGTGGACTTATGTTTGCGAGTGCTAAAAGAAAGCAGCAAAAGTAGGTTAGACAGCTACAGTGTCAGAAACAGTGTATTGATCATATCCCATATTACCTTTCGGGATTGTCGCGTGCACACATTTTCCGACATCCTTTCTCGAAATAGCTGTATTCTACTTCATCACTGAACTTCTTTACAACCGACCGCTACCGTGATGTTATTCACAGAGCGGAGGAAAGCATCCGAACTTGGTTTCTACAATGACTGTACAACTTTCAATTACTTGTATCTTAGTCATAGTTAGCAGGCTCTCTTTTTCTTCAGAATAATTGAGAGCAGTGTATGCGCGTGGGAGCAGCGAAGCAGCCAGACAGTCAAGCCTTCAGTCATGCGCGTGGTCATTTGCGTGTCTTACGCGTTTTGCTCGATCGACTATTAAGAAAAAAGAGAGGCTGTTGGTAGGCTATCCTAGTTATAGTTAGGTATAGTTATGTAAAATTAGTTTTTGTTTAGATTTTTAAGTCGTTAACTTTTTTAATAAGTTTCCAATCTAAAATTTAGTATTTACTACTTAAATTACATTAAAATGCTGGGAAACTGAACTGACAACTGAAGGCATATCGAAGAAGGTGACTCGAAATTGTAAGTTAGTCACAACGAGACAGAAGAACTGAATTCATCACTGGGCCGTGTGAGTTTTGGATATCTGATGAAAAACTCTCTCTTGCTGAATCCTTCATTTTTCTTGCAAAACCGTTTAGTTAGAAAAGTTAGTATATCAAACATTTCACATGGTGTTTCATCGTAATAAGAAACAAATAAAAGCTCGCGATGAGTAACGTGTTTGATATATTAATTGACGTTTTTAGATACTTTTGCCTCACTGGTGATTAGTTAAGCTTGAACTGAAAAGTACCTTCAAGGACATGAAATGTTTAAATCTAGAAAGCTTTAAAAAATTAGTGTTAGAAATTTTAATTTACGTTTGATAATTTCGCTGGATGGTATTAAGAGTATTAAGACGTTTATCGTGCTATTACTATTGACGAGTAGTAAATATATTTATTGTTTTAGATTGGAAAGTACTCTAGATCTGTAGATAGGAGGAAATACAAAAAAGGTGTATCAAAAAACTGTTTCTTGAATGTTTCATTGTGACAGGCAAGCCGCGGAAAGTTTGGACTAGTGTTAAGATTCAACTAAAGCATTAATTATAGACTGTTTACAAAATGGGCATAGTATAAAGCTTTAAAAGTCTGCAAAATAGTAAACCACAAAGTATATTGACAAAAATAAGACGTAGGCCATTGGAAACAACTTCCTGCAATGCTGGTCAATTCTACACCGCTGTCCCTGATGCACGGACGACGCTTGGCCTGTTTTGACGTCGGAAATACGCTTTCCGAAAAATCGTGATCGAAAATTACTCAAGAGAGAATCGTGTTTTCCGTTACCACGTCTTTTCTACAAACCAAATGACAGTAACAAAGTTGGAACTGTAAGGAAGGGGTTTAATGATGATGCTAATGATGAAAACCATCTTGCAATCTCAGTGTCAGCCTCGAATTTCGTTCCTCAGCCGCTATCTCCCGGGGGGAACTCCCATATAAAAGTGACAGGGATGCTCTTCGTCTCGCTTAGGGGTGGAAATTGCAGATTTCGGTCTTACTAAGGGGGTTTGGGACGGAAGGTCACCTTATATGCCCATTCAGGTATCGCTTAGGGCTGGGCATATATAAAGAAACTGACGTGACGCTGACCGTACAGAAATCGGCTAACGCTTAAAAACGAACACGACATCCCAGGCATTATACAATTCTATTTAGATGTCTGTTTTAGTATGGTCCCCTTTAGGGGTCAGTTTAAACATGAGCCACGCCCACATTGGTTTCCCTTACGGGTGTAAATTTCGGATTTTGGTCTCACTTATATTAGAGTGTTCTGGGCAAAACGCCATCATATTTAGCCGTGAAGGTTTCGTTTAGGGTTGAACGCGAAAAAATATAAAAATATCTATATTTGATATGTATATTTTTAATTTGTTTTATTTACTCCATTCATATAATCCAAGTTTTCTCATTTGTCTGTGTTTTAACATGGTCTCTTTTAGGGGTCAAAAGAAGCTTGGGCCACGCCCAGATCGGTCTCCTTCAGGGGTTTAATTCAAAATTTCCGACGAGCATCCACACCCCTTTCATATGCGGAGTCCCCCTCTCCCCGAGGAGCATCCCCGTCACTTATATATGAAATAACGCCCGAGGGCGCTACCTTTGGCCCCACCTATCAGGTAACCTGGATATCATGCCTAGCTCATTATTTTTATGGAAGAGGAGATTGTTAGGTTTCACCTTCTCGCTTCCTTGTTGCACTTTCACCATAGAAACGCCCGATGACACACAGACAATCTAATAGAGCGACATCCCTGGGGGCACCCCGTTATTAAGCCTAAACGGGAATCTGCTGCTGAACTGTGAGTAGTTTTCCAGCCTTTTTTAGGCTCCCAGATAATCCAGATAGTAGGGACGACGCGTAAATGAAATGTGCGCGAAAATATGAGCGCGTGATCTGGGGGAAAGGGGTGGTGGCGGGAAAAAGAAAGGGAGTCACCGTTCCTCGTCCCATTTTCCTCTAGTTTCGCGCTTTCTCAACGACTATCTCGAACCTGGAACAGGCTAGTGGTCTTCGGCATTTTGAATGAGTGTCTTAAACGGGGTATACAATTTCACCATTCAAAGTTTTGGCGGAAACTTTGGCGGCGTGCATTCTTCGTGTGCTGTATTCGATAACAAGGCCCTTAAAAAATGGGCACTTATCTTAAACAGGGCAACAAAATGAATGCCAATAGTTTTTGAGTTAAACAGGGTCAGGGCTTGAAAAACTACCACTCAAACTTTCCACTGATTGCCCCCTCCGACCTCCTCCCCTGGGACCGACATCTTTCCAAAAGGAACGCCTAGTACAGCTCCCAAAGGTGTCTTAATAGAGGCCGGGTTCCCAATAGGCTTTTCGGGATCCGGGATGTCCCTCATGAAGCTCGGGATCTGGGGACCCGGACCTACCCCGGGATCCACATCTTTCCAAGAAGAACGCCCGGAGTACAGCTCCCAACGGTGTCTTACTAGGGGTTCCCCAATAGGTTTTTTAGGATCCGGGATGTCCCTTATGAAGCTCGGGATTCGGGATTTTCTAGCAAAACGGGGACGGGATTCGGGATTGAAATTATACACGCGAGGTGATGCAGTTGAACCTCTCCACACCGGCCACCTTGGGGTCAGAAGAAAGTGGCCGTTGTTTTGAGGTGACCATTAGTGAAGGCTCCGCGACTGTACGTCCAAAATAGCTATCGAAATAAAGGGATAGCGCGATCATTTGTGTCGGGATGACGGGATTGAAGAACCCTGTTGGAACCCTTTTACTAAATAAAACGAGCAGCAAGTCAAAAAATTGTAAAACGTTCACCTGAAGTTCTACTTGTTTGCCTTCAAAGACTTGATGGAACGTATCGCTTACTTCACTAGTTGTTTGATGAATAGATAGCAAATGACAGATGATAGCATACTCGATCAAAGTGGCAAATACGAAGATAAAACTACCCATCAAAAACACATCAATCGCTTTCACGTGACCAACTCGTGGCAGAGAGGCTTGTATCCCAAACATAAGCGTCGTCAAGGCGAGCACTGTCGTGATTCCGAGGGACACTCGAGCGGGTACCGATCTTTCATCGATCCAAAAGCCAACCCAGCTTAGCGCTACGATCAAAACGGTCGGAATAAATTCTTGAAGAAGGTAAAAACCTAGTTGTCTTTTGAAACGGAAAACTGCTGACAGTCTACTAAAATTCCCTAAAAGGAAGACAATAGAGAATGAGAAGATTATTATAGATAATACTGTTCTCATGTTGCAGAACAAAGGAAAATTTAAAAACACGAAATGATTATAATTTAATTTTCGCGGTAGAGTTGGACTAAGGAAATGCATGCTCACTGTTTTAAACATTTTTCAGGGGCTCATTTTGAAGGTAAATACTTTATTGGAACATTTTTGAGGCGTAATTCTGACCCAGGAGGGTACTCCTCTGGGAATTTTTATGGTTCGGAAATTCGGCATCGGATTTTTTTGGGTTTTGATTTTTGTCCCCATTCGATCAGCCCTGTCACTCGAAATCCGGAGTACCCCACCCCCTGGGAAATCCCTTGTCTTCGCTTCGCGTTCTTTCAGATTTTATCGCGGCTTTTCCAACTCGCTCAAATGTTTTGCAGTTTTGGCATAGTTTTCCTGGAACTGAATCATTCTTAATGAATGCGTTCACACTACACAAAGACAGCAAAGAAATTAATTATAATAAGCCAAAAAGCAATTGTAGTGGTTGTTGCTGTATCCCCCTTATGTTGCAATGCCTCAATCACCACTCTCTTCTATTAAAACTAAGAAAAGTCTGAGTGACTAGTGCCTGAATGTGTGCTAGCTCATACAGGGATCGATCTCAAACACTGAATCAGTACCTGTGGTATACTCGTGAAGAGTAAATTTTAGTCGCCAATCCATCAGCATGAACTGAGGTATCTGAACCTTATTGTCTATTTGTACCGGGTCTTGATTTAGCCAGGAGTAGAAAACATCCCGAACATCATAAGAAACTAAGGAAGTAAAGTAGCCATTTATAAGATCTCCCAGGGCTACGATCCTTTTGGTCAGCACCATAGACCGAAAGTTCTGGCTAGGGTCGAAACAATCCAACCTCGACCCCAGAGCTCTTCTGCGCATGAAGCGCAAGCACTGGGGTTGAGAATGGGGCCCCAAACACGGATTTTGGCATTTCTGCGCAGACACGGAAACTTAAAACAGTAACGACTTTTAGTAAAATCCAACTAGTGGTCTATTATCAACGCTGCGTTCTGATTGGTTGACCTAGTGCTAGGCTATGTTATAGCCTAAGGAAGGGAATTTACTGTGCTTGCGCGCAATACCGGGCCTAGCCAGAGTTCTCAATACATTGGCGCTGATCACAAAGTTCGCAGCTCTAGGCAAAGATTAGTCGAGTTAACAAATAGATTCCGTGTTACCGTGCGCCTGTTCAGTAATAGATCACAGATGACGTCAAAATGTGCTGAGAACAAAGAAGTGGTACACGAGCCGCAGGCGAGTGTGTCACTGCAGATGTTTCTACCGCATTTTGACATTTTCTGTGATCTATTACTGAACAGACCCACGGCAACATGGAATCTACTTGTTTTCTACAATAATCAGAAGAGAAAAAAGACCGATACTCGTACCTACCTCGTACCGCTTTTAACTGTTCGAGGTTTGTTCTAGTTTAGGCACATTTTTTGGTCCCAAACGCTACTTTTCGTCTATGCTTTTTTTTTCGTTACCTTACTTGCATACAGTTTCTTCGAAGAGTTTTTTCTTTTCTTGCTCAAAGCAGAATAATGGCGAAAACATTTTGCAAAACAGCGAGTCTCTTGTAGCGATGACACGCGATGGCAACTGTTGTAAAGATTTCTTTCAGTTTAGACATTCTCAAGTTGTCAAAAACTCTTTTTGCCTCCATTTCACCATATTTTTCGTTGTAAATAGCTCCTGATAAACTTTTTTTCGAGACTTTCACTTGCTTAATCCATAGTAATCTCACAAACATTTTCAAAACCACGCGCCATGTTGAAAAAAAACACAAATAAAACAAATTTTCTGTGACGTTATCCATGTATCTGTATTCTAATAGATCATGGGCAACGACCAATCACAACGAGCGTAGCATTCACATCATTTTATAAAAAGAAATTGAACAAATGATGATAGTTAATGCTAACTATCACACAGAAGGTCACTTACGCATGCGCAAAAGCATAATTGCCTGCCCACTATTTGGCGTTAAGTTTGAATCAAACATCGGGACGCGACAGCTATGCTGCTGTGGTTTGTAAAAGAGGAACATTTTGTATGTATTAAAATACTTACAGCTTTCAAAGTCCATTTCACAAATTTGTTTGTCCATGGGAAATTTTCGCAAATCCATAGGACAGTACAAACGAAGTGATTTCCTAAACCGGGGGATAATTTATAAAGGAAAACATAATAAGCGTACTTTCATTACAGCGTTTGACCCCGGACAAAAGTAAACAGTTAAATTATTTGCAAGCGATGCCAGTGAAATTATTTTCAAATAAGGTCAACTTTTTCAAAATCATACGAAAAACAAATAAGTTAAATGACTTTCCAAGCACCTGTGGCTGTACGTAATACGTCCGTCTTCAGTCAGTTCAAACAAGAAATCTTCACTCGGCTTTGCGCCGCTCAAATCGTTTATAAAAAAAGTGTCCGGTAGCCAAACTTGATCGACAATGTTCCCAAGGAGCTTTATCTTTGGAATTCCCAATGAAGGACCATATGCTAGACGAGAATCAGTCCAATGTTGACGGAAGAACATAACGATCGTCACCTCCTGGATTAAAATAAAGCCATTATTTGCAAAAATTAAAGGATCATTAATGGAAGGGCGCAGGAGGATTCAAGAGTCGACAAGAATGATATTTGGCATGGATAAGAGGGTTTAACCTCTTGCTAAATACTTAAAATTGTTATAGAAGCATGTTTATGCTTCTGAACTGTCTATGGCTACTAATCTTCACTCCTCCTTATCGTTACATATGCTTTGAGACATTCTTCGCTGAGTAAATGGTCATAGATTCTGTGCAGATTCCACTTTTCAATGCACTAAAGTACCTAGTGGCCTAAAATGGATGATCCAGCCTGCCCCTAGAAGTTATCCCTTGCCTCTTTCCTGGGAAAGGGTCGGCGTCTCTCTTGGTGACGTCACAGATCACGCTAGAGTCCCGGATTGTCCGAGCCGAGAACGCCTTGGGACTCCAGGATTCGCTTCTGACGAAGAGCTAGCGGTCGCAACGACCGCTCTTCAATGCTTTTCTTCATTGAATTCGTCAACTGAGTTAATAAAACTAAATTGTTGTAAACATCCTAGCCTAACTACCATAACAGACCGAGTGACGCTGGGACAACATATGTAGGCTTACACCAAGTTCTACTTCGAAATCCAACAACACTGCCTAAACTAGAGCTCGAAGCGATGACGTGACTGGGAAACATGCGATGGCTGCTAAGCGCGGGAAAATTTACGGGTGCCACTCGCCAAGCGAGGGACAGAAGTTACTAGTTACTAGTCGCGCGAAGCCTGTAACCGAAACATGACACATTGTAAAGTTTGTTTGACTAATTATACAGTGTTGTCTTTCATGATTGCAGCCGCAGTAGTCCTTAAAGTTGTTGAAAACTCTAAAATATTTACCTTCGCATTTATTATCTATTTAAAAACCGCGAGTCTCTACACTGGCAATAGGAGAAGAAAATTGGTTGAGAAGGAGTTACATGTCGAAAAACCTCAGCTTTCAACTAGCGTTTCAACTAAATTTGACGAGTATTGAAGTCGCAAACAACGAAGACAGAACTGAGATACATAGTTATAGTATCTTGATTTAAGGTAGTCTAGATGATAATCTTACCATATCAATTTCCTTAATGGGAACCATCGATGACACGTGCAGGGAAATGTTTATTTTGCATGGAGCACCTGCAAATAAGGCCAAATTAAAAGTCCACTCTCATTGCATGTGCCAACTGCGGTTTCTAAGAGCAGTGTCAATCTCATTACAAACGTTTATTTTCTATTAAACTACTTTCGGACCCGCTGTAATTCAAATTACGGCCCCCCGGGTAAAATTTAACCGCGAGTTTGAATTGAAATTTTTGACTTAAATTATATAAAGTTGGAGTTACCTCCAAAGTCTGGCCGCAGTCTCTTGTCATAGCCATTAAACATCTTTTCTAACATCATGGAAGTGCGAGCTCCCAACGTTTTGTTTGTGACATCACTGAAAAGCAACAGGGTCGTTGTTACAGCCTGTTGGCCGAGCTAGTTGAAATTGATACAAATTGGTGAAATCATTCAATCTTACTGTTCTACGTTAGTTGTTAAGTTGGAATGACCATAACATATGCATATTCCATCAAAGATGACAGAACTTAAAACTGGGCAAAAACATGTTAGCTGACGCAAAGCGCAGCAAAAAACGATCGAGTAATTGCACGATAGCGGGTGTCAGTAAAACGCGGAGTCGGGGCCGGAGCTGGATCGGGGTCTATCTTTTTTAAAAAAAGGATGCTGTTTTAGGGTTAGGGTTAACGTTAGTTAGGGTTAGTGTCAACACTAACCCTAACCCTAACTCTAACACAGCGTAGACCCCGACCCCGCGTTTTACTAACACTTCAGGATAGCATCTCGGTGTTTCTGCTCTCTCTCAACTGTGCCTGCACTGCAGTATGTAAAATGCAGCATGGATACTATGACATTTTGTCCGCCATGAAATTCAATTTGGAAAGAGCAAAAATAGAGTCTGTATT